TTAGGTGGGACATAGCGAAGGCCTTCGATCGGGTTTGACACAGAGCGCTTCTTACTAAGCTCCCTTCCTATGGGCTTCCCAAGAATTTGTGCAAATGGATCGGCAGTTTTCTTGCAGATTGGAGCAATAAAGTTGTAGTAGAAGGTGCATGCTCCATTTACAAGCCTATTTATGCTGGTGTTCCCCAAGGCTACGTGGAACACCTACGCTGTTTTTTCTGCTTATCAATAATATGTTGCGAGCCAGTAACGTGCACTGGTGATGCTTTATACTCCGGCTGTGCCTATATTTCTCGGGAAAACGTCGCCGAGTACGGGAACAAACTTTTGTCTGAATTCGAGTCTTTGCCGGATAAGGTCTCGGATTGGGGCGACTAAGTCTAATTAAGTTCAATGCCCAGAAGACTGACGAAGGCGAAATACGAAAGGAAAAGATGTTGCATCCCTTTGCATTTTCTATCGCATTTACCACAGGGAGTGTTCAGAGGAACTGTTCGGATTAATTCCAGTCACAAAATTTTATCAACGCATTTCACAAATTCTCGGGATGTTTGGCGGTCCCCTACTGTCCGATTTTCTAGGAGTTTTCTTGCTCGCACGACTTCTTTGTGGAATCGTTTACCACCGTTTTTCCGGCCGATGCGACTTAGGGACCTTCAAGAAACGAGCTTAGGTACTCCTTTTTAAAAAGTCTACAATTTCCCTGGTATTGTATTTGTTAATACGCGGTGGTCGACACTTGCCATCAGGTGAGCCGCATGTTAGTTTGTCCCCCTCTTCTATATAAAAAGGCAATAAAACGAAGTAGACAATTGTCTATTATCTAGTAATTTTTGTGATTTCAGTTCAGTTCGAAAATTGTTTATATAACTAGGATAGTACATAATTGTTCGAACGTCATTCTTGGAGGCCGAGGGGCCCCTTTAGCTTGAGGGCCCCGGTGTACTGCCCCGCCTAGCCCCTGGGTAGCTACGCCATGGGTCTGAGGTGTCACAGACAAGATTGGCTACATCTTGAAGCGAGCTTCTATTAGAATATTCTACAAGCCGCCGAAGAAGATTAGTCAGTTCTTACCATCCGTCAAGTGTAATATCTATCTACAGAATGCAGGAGTGTACAAGCTTGATTGTGAATATGGTCTTTCATATATAGGGCAAACAAAACGATCTATTAAAACCCCCGTAAAAGAACACATAGCTGACGTGAAACAGCTATGCTCCGGGAAGTCTGCAGTTTGTGATCATATCTTAGACGTCTTCTATCTTAGAAGGCTCTACGTGCAGTCCGTGGCACGGCGGTGATTTTTTGACTCCGCGCTGCTACTCACAATTTCTTCATAGAAAAATTCAATATTTTATTAGACAATCAAAATCTTAAATGATAAAGAAATTATAACATAAAGAACATAGTATTTCATTATCTGTTAAATATAAACGCATTTATTGGTTATCGCATAACAGAAAAAACATTTGTTTTAAACAAAAAAAAAAACGAATGAAAGAAAGATAATAATTATTTATTTTCCTCGAAGATCCGCACTATCCCAATCCGGATTTTCAATTAACACTAAAGAAAAAATCTAGTTTTAATGAAAAACCAGATTTTGTATTTCTAGCCAAGAGCAAGCAAATCATCATTCATTATTACTTTCTGTTTTTATTGCAATAATAATTAAAAAAAAATAAACATGGACATTTATTCAGATGTGAATATTAAAGTAACGGCTTAAGACCAAACTTGAGCTTTGTAAAGACTATGTGCAGGGCAGGTTAGGTTTTCTGGAAAACTTATTCAAAGGGCTAATATGAACTTACTTACATATTTTGTTAAATATACAACCTAACCCTGACCTGCAAATTCCAAAAAACGCAAGAAAATTTGAATTTCGCGGGCCACCCTGGAGCTTTCACCTTAAATGGATGTTTCTTGTTCGAAACGATCACCGATCAGCATATATGTACATATATGGCAACGCGGCAACACAGATTGTGAAGGTACACAGATTGTTGGGTAAAATCGATATTTAGTGGTGCGCCGACGTAGACAGCTAAACGTAGTGCTTGTATAGGTACTCTTTGTAGACAGCGTGAGTAATAATATGCATGTTTAACACATTATATTCGATAGGTTAAGTATTACTACTAAAATTAAAATTATATACTAATTTGTAAAAAAAATTAAAGAATCGAAAGGGTAATCGTACAACACAGTAAATAAATAAAATTAGTATGCATTGAAATAAACTACAAAAATTAGCGCATTTTCAAAAATTCTAGGTAATATAAGATTGCGCCTGTTTTAATTAAGAGATCAGCAGTAAGTGAATTTCGTAAGGCTAAATATTAACATTTCTTTTTTAATTCCTTTAAACGAGAGAAAGAAAGATATTATAACATATATTTAGCTCATCCGCACAAAATACAGATGTCTACAGATAAGTATATATTACCTAGTACATGTAAGTCATAGTAATCCGTGTGGTGGCGGGTAAGAATATTCTCTACCCCATATTCCGTGGGTGTCAGATAATAAGAGGCAACAGAGGGAAATTAAAACAAAAGATGGCCAGAAACATCTTCCTGCCGGCCGCTCTACACTTCGCTTACCAGTACGGAACTGCCACTGGAAAACCTTTCTTTACTATTCATAGTCGGTTCTCCAAGCTATAGGGGCGGCCAACTGTCACTTCAGCTAACTGATCCGTTGGGCTATGTTGGTTGATCTGGTTCTATTGTACGTAAGTTAACATATTCACATACAACTTAAAGCGTGTTTCCAATAACTACCGGTATAGACGTGATATGGACATTATATATGGCCCTTCTCTTATCCATGTTCATCTTATAACCTAACAGTTGGGGATACTATTGAGTTCATTGAGCATAGTGATATGATTCTCCAGTTATAGACTATATCGTCGGCAAATATTTCTAATCCAATAACTTGAAAACATCTTCTAAAGCAATGATGAATAGTTTAGAGGATATAACATCACCCTCTTACACCTCTCTACAGTTGCAAGTTTAGTGCTCTGGTTCTGTACTCAAACAGTCATTGTAACCTTACTAAAACTGCTAAAGCGACTGTTGCACCACCCAAATTTCCACCGAATTAGAAGCTTTCTCATGCTCAAGATAAAGTGGCAGATTGTACCAAATTGATTTTCATTAAGGTTGTAATTTGTCGAAGGGTGTGTCATGTGGTTTGTGCTTTTGTCAGAGAGTAATATATTCCTTGGGCCTATGGTTGTAAAACCTTTTCGGAAACAGACTTATTCTAGAGGCTGGAATTCAACTCAGGGTAACGAGTACGAGACGATTCGTAATTCCCCTAGGAGTCATAGTGTTCTGTGATTCGAAATTACTCTCTAGAACAGCGCGTAGACGGAGTTTTAAAAGAAAACCGATCTATAGTTGTTCAAAAGAGCCTTGACGCTTTTCTGGAAAAACAAGGCCACCGCACTTCTGCTCCACGCCTCAAGTAGCACCACCGTGGGGGACGGAATTTAACAACTTCTGAAAGACTTTATGTTAAACACACGCTTTCAGAAGAAGTATTGTAATAGGACCTTACCGTTTTTAATGTGTTAGAGAGATATTCTAATCTCGATCAAACTGACGACCGAGATATCACCAGAATAATGGATGACACTGATTCTTGGGTCGTTACTTACACCTGCGTGTGACTTCAACAACGATGTGTTGTCTGTAGAATCTCTAAATCTCACTCATAAAATCTCCGGCCGCGCGGAAATGACGCTGTCACAGTCGATCTTCAACTTACAGCAGATATGTCATTGAAAATGACACCGCAGCTTTGGTTCCGCTCAATCGCTTTTTCTATACGAGCTGTATTAAAGTTGCGTACGTCTAACCCGATACATTTGGATCGGGCGGGTCTTTTTTCTTAGTCTTTTTGGATTTTTTTATGGGAAATTTCTGCCTATTTTAGGAACTTGACAATTTTTTTTTAGGTATAAATAAGTTATTTAAACGGTCTGATTCTGAGAAGTGTATTAGGGTTAATGCAGAATATATCTAAAAGGAAAAATAATTTCACGTTTAATTTCACCCCCTTTCTCTTTAAGTTTAATTCCTCGAACTATTGACCTCCCCTCGTATGTATGTTCAGTTGCCTACGCCCATATCTGTTGAAGACTGCAGTTTCATTAGTCCCGCCTAACAGCCATGAAATTAAGTGTGATCGGAGAGTTTTTCGGTGTTTCTGCGACAGGTCTTGCAGAACTTAGTTAGCTCCGACCGCATGGACAGTTTTCACAAACTTGTTATTTATGCCGTCTATTGTATTGCAATCTTCTAGGTACTAAAAAAGATTCTGTGATTCAAGCTGAAAGCTTTCGGGGCTTTGGATTAGAACACAAAGCGGACAGAGTGTTGACTTCTTTAGACGTAACCTCTCCAACTCAACGTTAAGGTTCAGTGTGCCTCGCAACACTTTGTGATGTCTCGTTCATTGCTATCCAGGGGTTCGACAGCTGCCGGTATAGTAAAGTTAATACCTAATACATTATATTATTATCAAGTCTCTCTCGAGAAGAACGTTTTCTACCGACTTCAAAAAGGTCGAGGTACTCAATTCGACTGTATGTTTTTTTTTAATGTGTTACATAATAACTTTGTTCTACGTGAACCGATTTCGATGATTATATGTATTTTTATTTGAAAGTTGGTACTTTTCATGTGGTCCCATATAAATTTGATCAAGGTCTGACCAAAAGTTTTTTTTTCTTGAGGTATCCTCAATAATATATATTATATTGAAGACGGTTGTACAAAATTTTTAATTTTTAATTATTGTGACAGATAAACGTAGTGATAGACAACGAGGTGATCCCGAATTATGTCATGGAACACTCATAATGTTGGTAAAGCGACTATGCGAGCAAAGTAAAAACAATTACTAATACTATTGTTAACCACACTTTCACAACTTGCAGTTTGCATACAACAATTAGTTTTAAAAAAAAAAGTAGTACTTTACCTTCATTTCGGGAGACAGCTTCGTGTCTAAAGTGAACTCAGTTTTCAGCAAATGACCAATTTCAGTAGGAGTGTAGTCCTCGCCGTAGTCTGCTTTAGCTAATCGGCGTTGCAGGTCCGCTATTTGCGCCTCTTGTCTGTCTGATTAATTTTATTCAGAAATCAAATAAGTAGCACATTAAAGGTGTTTAAGTGGATTAAGATTTATTGGATCATCATCATCATTGCAGCCCTTCACATGTCCAATGCTAAACAAAGACCTCCCCCAATGATGCGCCCATGAAATAAATATAAAGAAGAGACGCCATAAGCAACTGTGTACTGTGATTTTAAGTAGGTACTGACGTCATCATAGTGGGCGTGGCTTTAGTTAGTGTACTGTCAGCATTGGTCCTGTGCGCTTATGTGTTGAAAATCACAAATCGGTGTATTTTCGTAGTATTAAGAAAAAAAGGATGAAGTGTTGTGTTTTATCGTGTAAAAACTACTCAGATAGACGCTCTGGTGGATAGCATCACATTTCATTTGTAAGTAATTTTACACCTAATTTATTAAAATAGTTCTAGAAAAATCTCTTTGCATCGGCTTTCAAATATAATTAAATATATTCGACACTAGATGGCGACACTTTGTGTCATGTGAACTAAAAATATAAAGGTACGTAGAGCTCAGTATTGGTAAAATAATCATACGTAGGTGCTGAAATTTGTTTTGCATTCTGTCCTAACGAATTTTTAATCGCCAAAATATTATTTTTATAGTTTTTATAACCATTTTGTGAACAGGCCGCCATCTATCGTTATGGTAGCTAAACTACATTGCAACATCGATATGAAACGATGCGAGTAGTTTTACTATTTATCGGTAGATGTAGATAGTGTAGTGGGCGAGGCTTAACATCCCCTCACCCCGCAAATTGTCACGCGTTGTTACATAGTGAAATCGAATTACAACACCTCCTCTCTGTATTTGCTTCATGAATGCGACAATACAAGGTTCTAAGCTACCTGCAACCTGCATATTAACTCTATCTAGTGGAGGAGGGATGGGCTTCACTTCGCTTACCGATACAACTTCTCGTCGCCAGACCGTAAGTAGTTCAAGGCTGAACATGGGTCTTTTTGCGACACCCACGGGATGAAATAAGTTGCCTATTTCTTGCCTATTTCCTAAATCGCTATCAGCGACAATTTGTCGTTAGAGTAGAGGTGATAGAGGAAAACAAAACAGGAGATGGGCAGCAGCATCTTCCTGATAACAACGCAAAATAAAATAACAGTGGTTGCGAACCAAGTGTGGCAACTATGGCAAATGTCCCCCTAATGAGACAATCTATGAAGAGGCCTATAGTACATATATATACCTAGTCAGGTCATAAGTATTGCCACACAGTAAAAACTTTTCTTTTAGAATGCTGGCCACAAAAAGTTTATTGAATTCGAATTGTTCATGAAAATAAAACTGTATACTTTTTAGAATTTTACTCATTTTTAAATACGGAGTGGACGCTTAAAGAAGACCGTGTTGCAGTTATTGCTTGCATCGTTGCGGTTACGCGCCAATTCAAATTATTGACATACTGAAAAATTGGAATATAACCAAAAGATTCGTTTATCGTACCATCAAACGATACAATGAAGACTCTAGTGTAGATGACAGGTCAAGAAGTGGTCGCCCTCGGTCTGTTAGGACTCCAGCAGTGATAAAAGCTGTGAAGGCGCGAATTCAAAGAAATCCCAAACGTAAGCAGAAACTGTTGGCCCTTCAGATTGGGTTAAGCAGAACCACGGTGAAAAGGGTGTTAAATGAAGACTTAGGGCTTCGAGCATATCGAAGAAAAACAGGACATCGTTTGAATGCTCGTCTAATGGACCTGAGACTGAAGAGATGCCGCGCTTTGTTGAAGCGGTACGCGGGAAAAAAATATCGGGAAATTCTTTTTTCGGATGAAAAACTTTTTACCGTAGAAGAGAGCTACAACAAACAAAATGATAAGGTGTACGCACACAGTAGTGAAGACGCGAGCAACCGTATTCCGCGTGTCCAACGAGGTCATTTTCCATCCTCGCTCATGGTATGGTTGGGAGTTTCTTATTGGGGCTTAACAGAGGTACATTTTTGTGAGAAAGGTGTAAAAACGAATGCAGTTATGTATGAAAATACAGTCCTGACGAACCTTGTGGAACCTGTTTCTCATACCATGTTCAATAACAGGCACTGGGTATTCTAACAAGATTCGGCGCCAGCTCATAGAGCGAAGAGCACACAAGACTGGCTGGCGGCGCGTGAAATCGACTTCATCCGGCACGAAGACTGGCCCTCCTCCAGTCCAGATTTGAATCCGTTAGATTACAAGATATGGCAACACTTGGAGGAAAAGGCGTGCTCAAAGCCTCATCCCAATTTGGAGTCACTCAAGACATCCTTGATTAAGGCAGCCGCCGAAATTGACATGGACCTCGTTCGTGCTGCAATAGACGACTGGCCGCGCAGATTGAAGGCCTGTATTCAAAATCACGGAGGACATTTTGAATAAACTTTAGTGTCATAAGAATCTATGTTTTGGTAAGTTCATTTTGGTGTATAAATGGTTACATAATGAATAAACTTGTTTCAATTATTTTAAATTAAACATGTGACAGAATTTATGACCTGACTAGGTAGATGTTCAGCAGTGGTCCGTAATGACTCAATATTAAATATTATAACCATCTTAACATGTATACTAGATGTAAAATCAGAAAATGCAGAGCGGTAATGATGCAGAGCAGCATCACAAGTGCAAGACTTCAGGACTTCAATCTACCATGCAACTGTAGCGTTTACGAAAATTTCTCCCTAATATGGGAGAGATCCGTAGTCAGGTATGAGTTATTTTTTATTTTATGAAACTATTGTTTTTAATTAAAAATAAAGTAAGCAAAATGCTAGTAGTAATTTCAAATAATAAAACTAACCTTTAACAAATACAATATATGGCACTTCCCCCATAACTCTGAGAGTAGACAACTCATGGCGTAGTGTCCCTGCTACATTGTTAAGCAAGCTCTCTGTTTCTTCATCTGTAGAGTCACCTTTGCATACCCAAAAAACATTAACTGTTAGGAAATCTGGAGTCACTCTTACCTAAAAGAATAAGTAAGTGATTTTGAAATATGCACAATTTGTGCTAGATTTTCATATTTTTCACTTACTACAATATTTTTATGTATTCCAAGATGTGCGAGACTATCTATTATTATCTATTGGTTATGGTTCTTTGAATATGTATAAAGTCTTTTGTTGAAGCTTTATGTGGGTTTTTTATGTTATAAATAAATTATATAAAATATATAAAATAAATATAAAATAATAAATTATATAAAAGTAATTTGGTAGTAGGATTTATGTTTCTCTTTCATGGTCTTTTAATCCGAAGTTTCGTTTTTGGATATTAATTTTTGGAAGAGCTTCAGAACCCATTTGTACAAACTTCTAAAGCTTTAGATTAGACTGTATGTAAGTATGGGCAACTCAAACTCCATTAAAATAATTGTACCTTGCTTGGTACAAAACATTTATGGAGGAGTTACAAACAATTCTCATTTTGGAATTCTTTTCACCTCTTCAACTGACGTACTTCGTAGGGTAAATTTTGCTCGATAATCGCCATCGCAACTAAATGTGACCATGTGACCTCATAATCTATCTCAACTCTGTTTGTTTGATTTTAATAGATTGGGCATGAGACATAACATTGGTCAGATTATTCCTGGGCAGCAAAATTTTCTTAAAAAACAGCACCAATAGATTCTTTGGATATACTAGAATGCTATAATTTTGATCACACTCATAGCATAAAAAATATTTAGTAATGAGATATTATTCTATGAGTTTGACATACAAGCAACCTAACAGACATCAAAGTGGACAAAAAAACAAGCCAAAAACTGTAAAAACCACAACAGTTGTTTAATAATCAAGGTGAAAACTATGAGCAGTTTTCTATAGTAGAATATTCATGGTTTGGTCATTGATTCACAATCATTCATTATCATCACCATAATTTTCTTTCCTTCATTTACTTAGCATTTAGATAATGCATTTTGGCTTTTACTATCATTACTATGAAAGACTGGATTTTTTTTTCTTTACAGCCCATCAGAAGCTTGTTTGTATACCTTAGTAGTTCTTTATTGAGAAGTTGATTGCAAGAGGTAATGGGTTGCAGTAATCAACGACTACCAGATAAAAAGGAAGCTTATTTTTCACATCCAATTCAACATTTCTACTGAACATTTCTGACTACCACGAGAGTAATGTTATTCAGGCAAATGAATGTGGTTTTGTCTGTCCCATTCCTAGCCCCACCAGTCTAAACAGCTTGATGATTTTTTCCAGTGTGGAATGTCATTTCATTTATATTAATCTTTGGAGTATCACAAGCCAGATTTATGGTGATTCCAAAGAATTATTAATGTGTCAAATATGTTAAAAATAGTAGATATAATTAGAAGAATAGGATATAATAGCTTGATAGAAATGCAATCAGCTTTTAAAAAAAACTAATTTTACAGATTTTTACTAGATTTTACAGCATTAAATGTAACTTATTTATAATTATGTTTAAAAAATTCCCAATATTTCTGGTGCTTAAAACCACCCATAGTCACTTAAGGTTTTTAAGGAGAACATGCATTGTTTCTTGAAATCTTGCAATAGTAAATCTTAGGTTTTAACTTAATAACACTGTATAAACTGAGACAAACTCTAGGTCTTTAAGCAAGTACTTAAGAGTTATTGAATAGTGTTTACCATTCATACCTTATTCAGCATTGGTTTTATCCAATGTGTATTACTTATGTTAACGAATGAAATCATTACTTGTATTTTTTTTTAATTCTATGGTCAGTTATTTATAGTAATAATTACTCAAAAAGCCTTTCAAGGTCTTTGAAAATGAATGTCAGACATTCATTTGGGCTATCTATCACCACATGCACAAAATATTGTTGATATATAATAATCTCAAATAGTAATTTTTTTTCGACCTTAATAACTTAGCAGTACACATATTTCTAAATAGCAAGTTTAAATATTGTTGATATATAACCAGTCATTGCAATATTGTTGTAACATTCATTACAACCCTATTTTCAAATTACCTTTGATATTTCAATGCCTTTTCCAACAATGTTCATTGCTATTGTACCAGTAGACATAATATCTGTTATATATTTCATAAATATTTTATTTAACACAGCCACTCTTCGCACCCCCCTTTTACCAGGTTCATATTTTATTTTTGTTAGGCTTTTAACACTAGGCATTGGAATCGTGTCTATAGTTTGAGATGGGTACCACTGCCTAAAAAAGTTACAAAATATTAATTTGGTAAAGAGGCAAAAGGAAAAGTGATAATTATACATGATATTACTTTTTACTTTTAGGGTTAATCATTTTAGAAAGTTTAACTCCTTGCTTTTTGAAATTGTATAAAAGCATTGAAACATGATAAAAACGGCGAAACATTGTTTTCTTGATTAAACATCAATATTATATGTGAAAAGTAATTAAAAACCTAGTTTCCGATAGAATATATATTTGGTTGTACTTCTAACATGTTTCTATATCTACAGCTAATATTTTTGCATTCGAAAATAAATACAAATCAAGGTTCGAGGTATGGTATGTCAATGTCACATTTCAATTGTCATTTGTCATTGTCATTTGTGAAATACCAATGTCATTTTTTGTTAAGATTTTTGGCTTGGATGCTTGTCTTTCAGCTATGTGTTCACTTCACAGACTAATATGATGCTTAGTTCACTTCATTCGGTATCTTCGTTTTTATTAATTTTAAGTACCAAGAGATAATAAGCTTTCATAATACACTGCTCACAATGTCTTGATGCGTCATATTGCGTAGTTTTCGGGAGATTTTGACGGCCAGCAGACAGTTGGCGATAGTATCTCACCATCAGAGCACTTGCTTCACCGTTTCCACTAATAATTCACATGCGCAGACATTTAATATACAAAATACTTTTTTGTCACCACTTTTACATATCAAAATCCACTTCAAACCATTATTTAAACAAAAATACAGAAGCAGAAATTCTCCAAAGCGCCGGCCATGTTCCCGCCAAAACTCCAACTTATCTTCTCAATGTCAGTGGCAGATGTAAAACAGAATATTAAGCTCGCTTTTCACTATGGGATATAATGTAATTCATATTACATCTCGAGATATAAATTAATATCGCTGACCGTACTTTTAAATGGAACCGATTACACTGAGATGTAATATACAGAGTGTTTGTAAAACGCTCCCGAAAACGAAGACAGACGATAGTACTAACGATACCTTTGATGATTCAAAGAATGATCAGAAAGCAACTCGATCCCAAAAAAATCTTTTCACAACGTTTTATTAGCTTTATTCGCGCTGCATCATGTTAGTAAAGCTAAATGAAACGATATTTTTATAAAAAAGAATCTTGAAATACTTAAACATAAAACCAGCAGTGGAACTTAAAATAAAATCAACTGACAAAAGGGTCAATATTCACATAGCTTTACCGATCTTAACCCTCCGTGGCTTTATGAGATTATCCAAGTCAGATTAACATGTTGCCATATTCACGAACACTATCAACGTACGCGTTAGGCATTATTCATATAAAATAAGAAACACAAAACGTAAGAACAGGAACAATAACAACAAGAATTTAAAAAAGGATAGAACTGTCGCTAACGCGCACGTGATGTTCAATACAGAACAGTGAAAAATGTACAGATGAATAAAACTCTCAACCTGTAAAAACAATTTGTTCATAATACTCGTGGTAAACTGTGTGGATGTCACAATTGTCAATAATGTATAGGTTAACACTATTATAACCATTTGTTATTGTGACGTTGTTTGTTTACCCAATAAATTGAAAAAAAAAAGAACTGACTCAAAACTAAAATTAATAATCAATCCCGCCAAAACGAATGCTGTTAGGACGCACGCCCACTGCTAAGGGCGTGAGTCCTAACGTCCTACGTCTTTGCGGTAAGAACTTTGAACATTTCCACAGATCGTTAAGCCGTTACGACAGTGCCAACTTTTATTTTATAAGTTTAGTTATCCATACGACTAGTCTTCATATGGAATTTAGAAGTTATAGTTGTAATTTTTTAATACAATTAGACAATCAATTATACCCTGACGAAACAAGCAGTTCGGTACTATTGTAATCGCTAACTACATTCTGTCATCTAACAACTAATCGCATTCAATCATCCTCGCGTAAACAGTTGCTTCCATTCCATTTTCTTGTACATATAAGAGCAATAATTGAATAGAATTAAATAAGCGCAATAATTACAATCCAAAAATTGTAAGCAACTGTTTACGCGAGGATGATTGAATGCGATTAGTTGTTAGATGACAGAATGTAGTTAGCGATTACAATATTGACAAGAAATAATTAATAGTGTCTTTTGTTTACACAAAGGCAATCATGTTTAGGAGATAATTGCTTTCAACCTTCTATCCACGGATGGGTATGCGCTAAACGATGGCTGTCACGAAATTAATGCGTTCTCAGTTGTATGCGGAGTCCCCAAGGAACTGACTTATAAGTTGGGAACTGACAACCATGCGAGAGGCTCCAGTGTCTATGGTCAGTTTACACGGCATTCCGTTGACCTCGCCCTTGATGATTAGTCAGTTCCCATCATGAATTTGTGAGATCGAAATCCTTGGGGCTCTTTTAACATCAGTCAGCACCCGTCCCACAGTCCTAGCTTTTACTCGTTTCCTTGCTGCTGCTGGGCGGTGCTGTTAGCCGCACTACCCTTTCGAGATTGATCACCTTCCATTTCTACAATTTGCTTAGGGCAGCTGGATCGAAGATGGCCCATGTCCCCAGAGCTGTAGCACCTAGGGCTCTATCCTTTATTGCGGTCGCAACTTGTAGCTGCTGCAAGATGATTCTGCCGCACGGCATCCACCTCCAGTGCATGGGCCAAGGCGTCCTTAAGCGTCACGTGGTGCCCGAGTCTCACAGCAGCTCTGACTTCAAGGTCACAGATGCCGTCAATAAATCGCGTACCTTTTCTTAAATTCAAAGTATTGGACGGATTAAAAACGGAAAGTCAATTAAAATAAAGTAAAATAATTATTTTTAGATTAATTCTGACAGATTAATTAACTGTCGATCATAATTGAAATTGATTTTAACTATGAAATTATTCAGTATAATTTCATTTCTATTTACTTGTACAAAATCAAAGATAACGAGGAACCCAATTAAGTACGTTTATAAATTTCAGTATGATTTTTGTAGGCCCGTGTTGCTCTATGAGTGGAACCAATGAAACAAGTACTTTGTTGGTGATGCATGCCATAGTTAATTAAGAGTTAAGACCAGCGTTTGGTACCTTAAGACACTATCTTATCATCCCAAAATAAAAAAACACCTAACCTATAAACACGTAAAATAATTTATTTCTTTCCTTTAGAATTTATTCCTTTTGGCTGAATGTCTCTTAGCCAATGCCAAAAAAAACATTGACAGTAACAATAGTGTGTATTATGCACCGGCGTGACCAGATTCTGTACTTTAATACCTTTTCAGTGTATTTTATCGATATTTCGAACATCAGTTTTTGGAGGTATATTATCGGAAGTCAGTATTTATGTGTAGGTATATTTTGGATAAGAAGTTGGGGTAACATAGTAGCGATCATCCTCGCAAACGTCACGAACTTTGATGTTCAGGGAATTTCTCCAATTTAGTCTAAATTTTATTTAGGAGCTAAGATCAATAAGTTACATGGCAAGTGGCCACCGTTGTAGGATTATTAAATTATAGCATTAATAATCCATTATTTTCTTTACAAGGTCTGGATTTTAAATTTTCAGTTGTATGATTTGGCAAGTAGGTACATAAAATACTTTTGTGTATGTATCACAAATAGCATCGAAATGTCTTATACGGTTTGTTTAAGTGAAATGATTTTCTGTTTTGCACTTGACTTAATATTTGAGATAATAATTTCGATATTTTGGGAATTCCCCAAAATCAGTAGTACGTTTTTGTCATCATATAAATAGAGCAAGTATTTTATTTGTTTTTATTTTACTTGACACATCCATCTCGGCAGCATGTCTAGTTTCCAGCAAAGTTATTTCGCAAAGTGAGGACAAATTAAGAAATTTTCTTCGTGGCTTTCACATTGTTAAGATGACGAATTCGCCGTCTTTTACAAAGCATGGAATGCGAAACTCCAAAGAAGATTATCATCTATTAAACAACATGAAAATACTAAAAAGCATACGTCGAACTTGCAAAAATATAAAGGACAGTCAAAGAAAAGCTTAACTTGTTAGATACTTTATAATTAGCATTATGATACCTAAAGTCAAAAAGTTCGAAAATATTTTAATTTAAATGAAATGTGTTGTATCAGCAATTTTAAAATAAAACAAGGTGTTAAATATTAATCAGGTTATGTGAATTTAATCCTTCGAAAATAATGTTAAAATAAATTCTGGTCCCTTGGTAGTTTCGTAAAATTTAATCTGGTTACACTTTTGGTTCGCTTGTGGGTGGAGGGAGGGATTGTTATCTTCCCGCCAATAAGCTGTCAAAATAGGTCGAATTCGGGAAAAGTTTATGTTTAGCATTTATTTTTTTATGTTTTTCTTTTAATAATTATTATAATAATATATAATACGCTAAAATGTCGATACAAGAAGAAGGCGAAGATAGTTGGATAGCTGCACTGGACAATCTGTGTTCTAAGTTAAATGTAGACCCAGATGCAGCTAAGAAATCGAAGGAATCATTTTTAGAAATCAAACGCAATTATACTTTAGATGTGAGTATGCTTACGACACTTGTAAAATAAATAGCAAATTATTTTATATTAACCTCTTATTACATATTATTCTCCACGGTAAGCGTTACGTGTATATCGTATCTCGGGCTTAATCCTCTAGACATATGTTAAATTACCATTAAAATAAAATAAAGTATTATTTAAAGACACTACAATTGTAGCTTTAATTGTTTGGCACTTAAATTATTTTATAATTTATTTTAGGGCGATATTCAGCATTGGATGGCTTGTGCTTTATATGTGGCATGTCGGACATCTATTACACCAACAGTACAGTCAGGCAGTGTTGTAGAAGGCAACTGTGTCAGCCTTACCCGTCTCCTTAGGCTCTGCAATATAAGGTAAAGTAAAGCATTATTTAATTCAATTAAATTACGCCTTTTTAACTAATCTATTGAGTAGAAAGCAATATTTGTTTTATAATTGTTTTATTTTTATTTACAGTCTTATTCAATTTTTTAATAAAATTAAAAACTGGATGGAAATGGCATTAATGTCTACAGATTTTAAAGATAGAATTACACGCTTAGAACATAAGTTTGCAGTTTCAACGGTTCTCTTCCGAAAATTTCAACCTATTTTTCAAGAAATATTTTCTGGTTTAACAAATGAACCACTGAAGTGCAATACAAAAAGCAAAAAACACAAGTAAGTTTTAGTATAACATTGAGTAAAAATAGATTTTTTTTAGTTATCATCTAAATCATCATCATTGATCTCACATATCAAAATAGGATTACAATATTTTCTAATAAATATAATTTCTGATTACTTGAAAAGCTACTCTGAAATATTATGATCTTTATTGAAACAACATAGTATATTATGCAACATCAACAAAATGGTGAGTAAAACAATTAGTTATCTGAAATATAATATTGTTAATTGAAATGTCAGTGATTAGTTATTATAGTTATATGGCTTGGGAATAGCCCATCCTTGGTGCTGGAACCACTAAAATTGGAAAGTACAATTTTTTTGCAGATTATTCACTTGATTATAGTAAAGGTAAAGAAGCTTGAGGTCCAAGAAATTAAAAGAAGATAGTTTGAAAAATGTGATCTGCCAACTCAACTAAAAATAATCTGCATGCCAGCTTACCTTTATCTCCATAGCAATAAAAAAGGCTGTTGCTCTGCAATATCTTAACAGTAGTTGGAGAGAAAACATAAAAATGGTGAAAGAACTACAAGAATTAAATGATAAAGTTATTGGTGCATTTAGATTCAAGTACTGTACTTGGAACTAACTACACCAAAAATATATGTCTGAATATCTTTTAGAAGTGGTCTAGTGAATCAGTGAGTGATAAAAAGGCACTTTTCAGACCTTAATTACTCCTGAATTATTTTAGGTTTATTCATGTAATTTGCGATTCTAGTATTCAAGGAGCCTTATGAGATATTAAAATTACTGTTTAATATGTCTAATAAATAGTTTTTGAGTTATGAGGGGGTTGAAAGTAGCTCCAAATGATGTAAATTAACACACTGCCCTTGTGTCACCCTTTTCTTTTCCAAACTTTGCTGGCAGACTGCCATGTGTCTTGATATGAATTTTATATCTATTTTCTTGTTGCAGGTTACAACCATGTACAACAAATGCACTCTTTGAATTTACATGGTGTTTATATGTGTGTGTTAAAGGTGAATTTCACAATTCTGCTGATGACCTGGTAGACATGTATCATGTATTATTATCATGTTTAGACTTTGTGTTTTCAAATGCTTTCATGTCTAGACGCATTGATTTAATAAATCCTGCTTTTAAAGGTAAATATTTCATAAAATTTTCTATAAAATATGTTATTAAACTGTGATTTCGTAGTTAAGACCTATAATGACTCACTAAGTCAATGGTTAAGCATTTAGCTGTGGATCATGTTAGTATTTATATAACCAGCTTATAATAGCTCTGGGTGTGAGAGCTTTTTCAAGTCGTTACATTTGTGCTGCACCAATAATATCGCCATAGTGTGACTGTACAATGGTATTAACATGAATATAGTCTGACGGCCTCAGGTCTAGTGGCTGTAAACAAAACTGTTAATCATGATCATCCTTGGTTCGAGTCCAGGTTGAAATCGTTTACTGAGTTTTTCTGTCAAGAAATCAGTAGCAGCCGAGAGTCAGGAATTTGGCAGTGTTTTACCACGGTGCTTCAGAAAGCATGTAATAGTGTTGATCCTGCGCCTGATCTCTGTCAGGTTGTGGTAAATTACCATTCCATGGGATTATAACAGTAAGGGTATAATGAGTGTATCTGTGCTTGTGCACAAATTCATACGCTATTATCCTGGTCTGCATATATGGCTAGTCTCAATTAAGACCAGCCACTGTGATCGAAAATCGATTAGGGGACATTTTTTTTTATAGGAGAGGGGGCAAACGAGCATGCGGCTTATTATTAGTATGGGGTATTTCTATTGTTTTCATACATGGATATATAAATATATATAAACGCATACTATTGTTATGTATGACAAGGGTAAATATGTGGAAGGTAGATCTGATTAAATGTTTATTTTGCAATTTGATCAGGCATGTGTCTTTTAATTCTAATACAGATACAAGGCAGCTCTACTATTTATTGAAACAGTACAAGGCAGCTCTACTATTTATTGAAACAGCTTAAATTTGTTTGAAATATTGTATTATAAGTTTAGAGAGAAAAATGAATACACTTAATCTGATTTCTAACATTATTTTAGGCATCAAAAAACCACCAAACTTTTTTTTCTTAAAAATTATAATAATATGTTAATTTTAAGGATTACCTCCTAACTGGCTAGCAGATGACTTTGAACTGCCTAAGAAGGCTCCTTGCATTATATCTGTATTATGTGAAATCAAAGAAGGATTATCAGTTGAAGCAGCAACAATGAAAGAATACAGCTGGAGACCTGTCATTAAATCATTTTTTGACAAAGGAGTAAGTTTATTTAATAAAATAATCTTGACTTAACACATAACTATTGGTTTTTAAATTCAGTATGTGTTATTGTAGAGTATGAGACATGGTTAGGGGCTAAGTACTCACCAGTATGCAAGTTACCCAGGTTGATTCCCCATAGGTATCAATGAAATTGTTAATTGCAGTTTTAAGTGCTGATTTACCACATGATCGTTTGTAAAGGAGACATAGTGAGGAAACGGACATGTTTGAGTAATTAAATATATGTATATATATATATATATTTTTCTAAGTGTGTGAAATTTGTGTACACACATTGGGGCAGTGTGGTAGACACTTCCTTGCCCTAAATTTTTCTCAGAAATCAAAGCAAGCCTGTGCCAAGAATTGGGAAATAAATAGGCTTTTTTTTTTATATATTTTTAAAAAACGTTACCCCCACACTAGGATTTTCTCCTGTGTCGTGGAGGCAGTTTACAAACATAAATTGCACAAGGACAAACATCCAGACCCGGAACAATTATTTGTAGGCCATACAAATACTTGTTCCGTGCGGGATTCGAACCCGCGGCCCCCAGCGCAACAACTGATTGCCAAGCCACTGTGCCACGGAGCCGTCGCCGGGTTATAGGTAAACTGACCATACGTCCCGTTTTGAACGGGACTGTCCCTTTTCTCGGTCACCTGTCCCATTGTCCCCAAATAAAGCTCCGGGACATAAAATTGTCCCGTAACTCATAATAATAATAATAATAATTTCTTTATTTGCTTAAAACATGGTATTTGTAGGTGGTACAGTAAAATAAGTACACATGTTTTGCTTATAATTAGCATGCAAATTTTAGTTTATGTTATATACATTTAAAGTTACATTTATTTAAAAAAAGGGTCAAATATATTCATAAAATTAATATTAACAAATCAATAATCATTAAAGCCTAAGGTCAATAAATTCTTTAATGTCGTACACTTTTAGTTCAATAAGCCACCTATATAGTCTCGATTTAAATAAATTCATTTTAAGGTTTTTAATGTCATTGGGGATCTTATTATATATCTTAACACACATTGCTACACAACTTTTTCTGAATTTAGCAGATCTCGGAATGACGCTTAACACTAATCTATCCGGATTTCTTTTCAATCTAGAGTTTATATCTCTGGCTTTCTGGAAGAGCTCAGTATGACTTTTGACAAAGCAACTCATTTCAAAAATGTATAGTGCTGGCAACGGAAGTAAGCCCAGGCTCCAAAAAGATGCTCTACAGGACTCGCCCGGTGGAATCCCACATATGGCTCTGATGCATTTCTTTTGCGCTACAAATGCTCTTTGTCTCTCAGTACTATTACCCCATATCATCACCCCATAACGTAGAATGGAGGCTACATACGCGTGATAAGTGGTAATAGCTGTTTGCAAGTTAGTTACGCTCCTTGTTTTATAAAGAGCATAAACAAAGCTGTTGATACGCTTGCATAAGGTCTCAATATGTAATTTCCAGTTTAGATCCTGGTCTATCGTTACACCTAAAAATTTGGTATGTGTAATTTCTTTAATCTTTTCGATATTGAGGTTAAAATTGTGTTTATCATGTTTGGGTTTATTAAAATGTATGAAATTTGATTTATTTAAATTTAATTTTAGATTATTTTCCTCTAGCCATTTAATAATGTTGTCAATAGTATTATTAATTTCAATTTCATGGTCATGTATTGAATTATATTTATTTTTATCTGATGTCACAATTACTGATATGTCATCTGCAAACAAGATACATCTATGACCAGTCACTCTGGTTATGTCATTTATGTATAATATAAACATAAGTGGACCTAGCACACTTCCCTGAGGGATACCACACGTGTTATTTTTTAGGGTAGAAGAACATGTTATCAGTTCGCTATTTATGATTTTATTAACAGTGACGCACTGACACCGATTCCTCAAGTAGGATGATAGCCACTGTAGTGTAGGTCCTCTTATTCCAAACGTTTCAATTTTATTTAATAAGAGTTCGTGGTCTACAAAATCAAACGCCTTGGACAAGTCAAAAAATAGACCTGTTGTTAGGTAACCTTTATTTAATTTTGTGAGTATTGTTTGCACAAGAGTAAATATTGCTAGAGTTGTCGACTTTTCTTTTTGGAAACCGAATTGATCTTTATTAATGATGTTGTATGTGTTGCAATAATTAAGTATTCTCAGGTGCATGCATTTCTCGAACACCTTCGATAGAACAGGTATAAGAGTAATCGGGCGATAATTGTTGACATCATTTTTTTTACCTCTCTTATACAATGGTTTGACGACTGATTGTTTTAATGTTTCCGGAAACGTACCAGATGAAAATGATAAATTAATTAAATACGTCAATACAGGCACTAGTTCATCAGTACACATTTTAATTATTCTTGTACTGATTCCGTCGAAGCCTTCTGAATTGGTGTTGTTCAAACCCATAATTTCTTTTTTTACTTCTTCTTTTGAAGTTGGAAGAAGAAACATCGTGTTTGGTATAATTTTGCTCTTAGTAGTTGTTTTATGTGTCTTATTTGTCGTCAGATTATATGTATTAGTCAATTCAATAAAATGGTCATTAAAAGCTGAGGCTATGTCAAAAGGATTTGTCAACTGTTTTTTGTTTAAATTTATTGCATTTATGATATTGTCACATTTTAAGCCATTGATTTCCTTTTTTATTATATTCCATGTCGCTTTACATTTGTTTTTACTTTTATTTATATATTTTATGTGTGAAATCCTTTTGGCGGTATTAATACATTTTTTTAATACTTTCGAATAATTTATATATTTGATTTTATTGCTTGCTGTTTTTTTTTTATAATAATTACATCTTAGTGACCGTTTAGTTTTACAGCTTGTTCTTAGACCTTTGCTAATCCAATCTTGTGTGTTCTTATGAGTGCTAACTTTAATTTTAATTAAAGGAAAACACAGATTATAAAACATGCACAGTAGTTCATGAAAGTTATTGAAGGCAGAGTTCAGACTAATATCTGCGTATACCTCAGACCAAGTTATGCTTTTCAGGCATTCCTTGAATCTGAAAATATTTTCGCAACCATAGTCCTTTTTAAGTACTGTGTATGTTTTTGGTTTTTCAATTTTTTTTTGCACAGGGATACATAATAACTGAGCTGTATCGTGGTCGGACAAGTATAAAGGTAGTACCGTAGCGTTAGCGTCTATAATATTACTTAGCATGTGGTCTATGCACGAGTTTTTGCGTGTTGGTACATTAATATGCATTTTTAAGTTATGACTTAGACAAATATCTTGGAGGTAATTTGTTATTTTTCCCTGTTTCAGCGTATTGATGTTAAAATCACCCGTCAAAACCATTTTTGTATCAGGCTTACAGTTTCTTAATAAGTCGTGCAATAGTAGGTCTAATTTGTTTAAGAAAACATTCGGATCAGATGTAGGTGTTCTATAAACAAATACAACCACTAATTTATGTAGAGGCAACTCGATGCCGCAGACCTCAAAGCTCTTTTGTGATGCGTACGTTTTTAGTTTTTCCATTTCTTTGTAGATACTATTTTGTTTGGCTAAGATACAGGTTCCTCCCCTCAGTTTGTCCCGACAAAAGGCTGTTGCTAACTCATAGTTATAAATATTTAGGTACTTCTCGCTACCAGATCGCAGAAAAGTTTCAGATAAACATATAAGATCTGGATCATTATTCGTCTTTTTAAGTTCTTGTAATGTTATTTCTAGTAACTCCTGCTTTGCCAAGACACTCGCAATGTTTTGGTGCAAAACTTTAAAAGTTTTTTTACTGTGAGGCACGAAAGAAAGGCTTATCTATTTTTGGAAAAAAATGCAGTAAAGTACTTTGAGTTAAACGCGTTTGCCTATTGGCATCAGATCCACTAATAGAGGCATTAGCCCCCGATCGAGCCCTGGAAAAATAGTACGGGATTGTTCCCTTTGAATACTGTACCACTTTAGAGAGAGCTTTTTCAGGCGCTGGCTTACTACGTGCTATTATTTTTTTCAATTGTTTGGGATTTAGATATTCATTTTCGTAGTCAATGCAATCTATCAAATAATTAATCGAATTACATAATTGAAAAGGATTCCTGTGTTTACATTCAACGAAATGGTAATTTTGATGTCCATTACAAATTCTCTTTATAGTTTTATTTATGTCAGTAACACTTAGGTATATATTTGTTAATATATTTAATACAATTGTGTCATTATTAGGAAAGTATCTAAGAAACCGTCGTAGCTGTGATGATAGTATATTAATATCATAGTCGTTTTCGCCAATGCAGATTATAACTTTGTCTTTCGGTTTTACATTTATGTTTCGAATATTCACGATAAAATCTGCGGACGGTGCATATGGTTTTGTTATTGCTGTGATGACGTATTTCTCGTATGGCGTGTTCGCTCGCGACTGAATTAGGGCGGTGGCGAGACCGGCGCAGCGTTGAGTTCCTATGATGTATAACCGGTTCTTATCATCTTCTTTATCAGCGCATACTAAACTCGTGGATTTAGCCTGTAAAGGCGTTTGTGTGTTGTCCAAGGCTGATGTCAATTTTTGTTCCAGAGTATTTATATATTTTTTTAGACAAATTACCTGGTTTTCAGTATATTTAAGCTGTTTCTCTAAGTCTTTAATTTTTAGTTGGAGTGCCACGGGTATGTTGTTGGTACCAGCTGTTTTTCTATATGCTGGAGAAATAAAACCAGTGTGATAGTGAGAAGTGAGAGGAGAAGATACTTCTGACTGTGGTTTGGAACGTCTATTACCTTTTTCGGCGGTCTGGATTGTTTGGCTAACGTTATGTGAAGATTGGCATAAGGCTGTCAACGTCTTATTTTCCTTTGTCAATTTGATTATTTTCTGTCGGAGATCGTTATTTTCTAATGTTATGTTTTCGAATTCGTTCTGTAGTATGGTATATTCCGTTCGGAGTCGGCTAATTGTGTCCTTCATTTCCTGTACTGCCATAGAGTCTGTTATAGTGTGGTCTAAGCTTTTTGATAGTGGTTTATGAAAGGAATATCATCATTCATTCATCATACCATCATTGGATGGAAGTATTCAAAGCCAACAATCTTCAACATAATTTTCTTTAATCGAATATATTTTATGTCTACCTGGTACAAACGCTCCAGTAGAAAGAGTATTTTTCTATTTTGAATAAATTGTGGACGTCTGAAAAAAACACTTACGGTTCCAGTTCTAAAGGCCATGTTGTTAACAAAGGTAACAATAAAGAAAAAAAAACTTGCCCAGAATTTTATTCTTATTTAAAATCATCACCAACTTTATTAAAGCAAATTTAATCCACTGACAAATGTAATTAATAATTTAAAAAAATATGTTGCATTTAATAATTACTGTCTATACCGAATATAATTTTATAGTGAAGACTAATTGTATAAAGTTATTGTTTTTTTAAGTATAAATAAACCCATGTCCCATTTTGAGTTAAAAAATAAATGGTCAGTTTAGTTATAGGGGTTTTTGGGTTGTAATTAAATGATGCCCGGGTTATTAGTACTTACTTAGTAAAAGTAGGTAACTATTTAGATAAGTACCTCTTCAATCTATTTATCTAATCATAATACCTACATAGGTACTTTTTACCGAATCACCTACTAAGATATTGTGTGAATGTTAATTATGGCCTCCGGAGGGGCAACCGCTGCCAAGAGAACTCCTCTCTATAGCGATTAGAGAGTCTAGTAATAACCCGCAATGCCGCAGATAGGCCAACTTAGACGCCCACGCCGAATTAGTCGCCTATAGGTCGACTTACCCGATCGGGCCTTATTAGACGATCATAGACCAAATTAAACGCCCAATTCAAACCAAACCTTACATGCTAATGGTGCTTAATTTTTATATTTGCATTTACTTCAAAGAAAATACACGCAAAAAGCTTCATCGCGCAGTAAAAAACACAACAAATATATGTATAACTAATACGAAAAATTATACCCAAAACAAACAAATAATACTACCTATAAATAACCTAATAAGTAATAATATTATAATATTATCGACTGATAAGATGACGTGAGCGTGTGCGCTGGCAGATGCTATGACTAACGACACGGGTTTCACCTTCAAGAGCTTAGCGCTCACTGACTCCAGCAACCCTATGGGCAGTGAATACGCCCAGTTTTTAAAATAATTTCTTATTAATATCAAATTTTGGTCTTTTGAAAAAAAAAATTATGATAGAAATGTTCAGTAATAAATTGCCTATCGATTAGTGTCAATCGCAAAATAAAATAATGCTTACTTTACGAGGAGATGCATGTTATCAATAATTATTTCACATTTATGTGGTTTCGTTGTAAGGAGATTATTTTAATATTTATTCCTTTAAAAAAAATTGAATATAACTCTTATGTAACCAAGATTATGTAGAAATATAATGTGTTTTTTATTAGTTGATATATGTTTTAAATAAAAAGTAGATAGCTCCTAAAAACCGCACAAATAACGACTAGCGCGACATTTTGCTCAAACACGTGCCTTAATATACAATGTTGTAGAAACTTGTTTTTGCAGTCACCTATTAAGCGATATATACACCTATCTTACCTATATAAGATATTTTAGAATGTTATCTTCTGCTTATTTTATTAAATAAACAACAATTAGCAATGTAAATCTTTTATTAATTTTTTTTCTTAATCACAAAATATATATTTTATTTTTAGATAATTTTAGTATCTTTCTTCGTGTATAATAATTGAAATTTTTTGATTTCAGATTTTAAAAGGAAATTCTGACCAACTGACTGGTTTATTGGACATTGGAAATTTTGATGTGAATCTGAAATCATTAAATAATCTTTATGAGACTTATGTCCTTAGTGTTGGTGAATTTGATGAGAGGATATTTTTAGGTATGATTAACTTTTAAGAGATTCTATAAAATACTTATTACTAATTGTAAAAAAAAAACTGTCATTTTTTACATTGAAGTTATCCTTCAACATAAAATGTCGAGATTTGTCAGTTTTAAAAATTTATTATTAAATATCATCAATAATAAAGGTTACTTTCAATATTTCTTCAACATTGATTCATATTTTGTTTTGCTAATATAAAAATATAATTTTGCAGGAGAACATGCTAATGAGCAAATTGGAACTAAAAAAGTTTCTGGTGATGAGATCACACAGGTTATTGCTAGTTTTGGACCAGTGAGTACTTATATTTTGATTTCTATCAATCATATTATATATATATATATATATATATATCTGCCCTTTCTGACTACCCTTCCCATAAAAAAAAATCCTTACAACCGCAATAAAAATATTGAAGGTCATTTATCGGGATAAAAAGTATCCTATCTCTCAAGTTGGACCAAACTGAACACAGTGTGCAAAATTTCATTAAAATCAGTTCAATAGTTTAGGAGTTCATCGTGGGCAAACAATGTCATGTGACACGTAATTTATATATATATATATATATATATATATATATATTGTTATATATTGTTAATTAAACTCCTTATTTTATGTTATATTATTAAATATGAATTGCTGGCTTCTGGCTTGGTACCTAAATTTAAATTTTTAATTATTAGTTGATGTGTTTAACCAATGTAGAGATGAGTATGAGTATGTGCTCAGACTCATCTCTGGATTGGAAAAAGAAGTCTATGAGACCTATAATTATATAAGTAAGCTTGAATCAGAAAAGGTCAGTAGTGCACTTAATTTAGTTTCGCCTCATTTAGATAAATAACTTTGGATAGTCCGTAAAATGTAACTTATTGATTAATATAACAAGGCTATGTTACATTCATTTATTTACATTTTACATCTTATTTAGTACCGTAAAACCTGGCAACTTTGCCATTTTTAGAAGGATTTAAAAGTTTAGGATCATTTTTCCAACGAAAAATGTACTGTTAAACTGGGCATCAATATTAAATGTGACATTATATTTTTTCATAGATTTGGTATTTATTAGAGATTTAAACAAATACTAACTTTAAATAGACTAAATACTCAAAAATAGGAAATGGCAAAGTTAACCTCACTATGTGGCATCTTTGCCATCAGATTTTATTAAGGATTATATCATGCAGCACAAACACCTTTTCGTAGCTCAAGTTAATTTGAGATTCCTCATACACATTTGGTATAAATATTGACATTACATTTGCAGAGCGGCCGTGCCTGCCCGGACACTCCTCTAACGGGGCGATGCTATCTTGCGGGGAGGGAGGAACTTACGCCTGTATCCGAAGCTACGAATAGTCTAGCGCGCTTAGCCTCATATTTGCGAAACGCCAAGCCCTATCCGTCTGCCGCTTTAATGAGGCTATTTGCGTAAGTTTTTAAGTTTTGTTTTGGTCTACCTTAGCTTGTCATTTTTTGTCGCATTATCAAATAAATTCCGGGTCTTTGGAACCACATCCAAAAATATTATTAGACATGGGAAACTGAAGCAGATTTTGTGATATTATTAAGTTTTAAATGATAGACAATTGGAGATATCCTGAGTTTAAATTTTGGCTCTTCAAATATTTAATGTAGAAGATTTTGCACTTTCTGCAGAAGTAAATTACCCATAAGTTTCTTTGCTGAATTAACTGAATTGTCAATTTTTAATTTGATTTTTTTGTTACTATAGTAATTTAAAATGGAATTATGTTCATTTTTGCAGTGAATGTGGTGTCAATGAGGAAACAATAAACACAAATGTAATTAAACCCTGCAAAGGTTGGATGGAGCAGTTTTCGAATAGTTTGAAGGAGTGCAAATGTAGCAATGAAACAATAGCATTTCGCTGTAATATGGTCACATGCCTATATTATAAAGTATTTGAACATATTATTAGAGAGGAACACAGGAAAAAACCACAAGTGTCTTTACAGGTAAACAATTTAAAAAATAATTCATGTCATACTGATTCAAAGTAAGGCTCCAAAGTCTTTGCCAGAGATCTGTCTGCCAGAAAGAGCCACCTGTCAAAGCTGAAGACAGAATGTGGCAGCATCGTTTCCGGGACACCTGAGATTTTGAGTGAGATTGAGAGGTTCTATGGGCAGCTGTACACGTCATCGTTGGAGCCACACGCAAGTGTGAGTAACGATTCAAGAGCGAGTCTCATCCGACACTATTCCGAAGATATCCCGGACGTCAGTCTGAGCGAGATTAGAATGGCTCTCCAGCACCTTAAAAACGGTAAGGCCCCAGGCGAGGATGGAATTACACCGGAGCTTCTGAAAGCGGGTGGAAGACCGGTACTTGAAGTCCTTCAGAAGCTCTTTAATTCCGTCCTCCATGGTGGTATTACACCGGAGGCGTGGAGCAGAAGTGCGGTGGTCTTGTTCTTCAAGAAAGGTGACAACGCTCTCTTGAAGAACTACAGACCGATTTCCCTTCTGAGCCGCGTCTACGTGCTGTTTTCGAGAGTCATTACGAATCGTCTCGCGCGCAGACTTGACGACTTCCAGCCTCCTGAACAAGCCGGTTTCCGAAAGGGCTTTAGCACCATAGACCACATACATACCCTTCGGCAAATTGTACAGAAGTCCGAAGAGTACAATTTGCCACTATGTTTGGCGTATGTGGACTATGAGAAAGCCTTTGATTCCGTCGAAATTTGGGCGGTGCTGCAGTCCCTTCAGCGGTGCCAAGTTGACTGTCGGTATATCGAAGTGTTGAAGTGCTTGTACAGTAGGGCTACGATGGCTATCCGAGTACAGAACCAGAGTACGAAACCTATCCAATTGCAGAGAGGTGTAAGACAGGGTGACGTCATATCCCCGAAACTCTTCACCGCTGCATTGGAAGACGTTTTCAAGCTTCTGGACTGGAAAGGATACGGTATCAACATCAATGGCGAGTACGACGGTCGATTTGCCGACGATATAGTCCTTATGGCAGAATCGCTGGAGGACCTAAGCACTATGCTCAATGACCTCGATAGTGTTTCCCAACGGATAGGTCTTAAGATGAACATGGACAAAACAAAGATCATGTTCAATGTCCATGTCACACCTATGCCGGTAGTTGTTGGGAGCACTAAGCTCGAAGTTGTTGACGAGTATGTTTACCTGGGACAAATAGTCCGACTAGGTAAGTCCAACTTCGACCGAGAGGTCAATCGACAGATTCAACTCGGCTGGGCAGCGTTCGGGAAGCTACGACACATCTTCTCGTCAGACATACCTCAAAACCTGAAAACGAAATTGTACAACCAGTGCGTGTTGCCAGTGATGACTTATGGAACTGAGACGTGGTCCTTCACTGCTGGCCGTATGAGGAAGCTCAAGGTCGCTCAGCGAGCTATGGAGAGGGCTATGCTCGGAGTTTCTCTGCGTGATAAACTTAGGAATGAGGATATCCGCAGTAGAACCAGAGTAACCGACATAGCCCAACGGATTAGTAAGCTGAAGTGGCAGTGGGCCGGCCATATAGCTCGAAGAACCGACAACCGATGGGGAAGAAAGGTTCTCGAGTGGCAGCCTCGTACCGGTAGGCGAAGTGTAGGGCGTCCCCCCACGAGATGGAGTGACGACCTGGTAAGACATGCAGGAAGTCGATGGATGCAGGTGGCTCAGGACCGTGCTTTGTGGCATTCTTTGGGGGAGGCCTATGTTCAGCAGTGGACTTGTGAAGGGCTGTAATGATGATGATGATGATGATACTGATTCTTACCGTCTTAGTACTTTCTTACGATTTAGTATTATCTGATCCATTTATACAAGTCAAGTACATAGTTTGCACCTATTTAATAAACTGCCCACCAGCATTGTTAAAATAATTGCAAAAAAAATCTTAATTAAAGTCTTAATTGAGTAAATAAAAATATAGACCATAGAATAACTTATAATATTACATTTGACAATTGCTGTGTTTACAGCAAGTCTAGTTTTAAACTTTTAACAGTTTGACATAATCATATTCTTCTTTATTTCAGATTCTTCTATCACAAGAAATGTATCAGCTCACAGTATATGCTTGTTGTACAGAGGTAGTGTTACATTCATATGGAGTGCATTCATTGCGATTTCCGCGAGTGTTACAGATATATGGACTTAGTGCATTTCACTTTTACAAGATCATAGAACTTGTTGTGCAAGCACTTGTGGATAAATTGAGTCGGGATGTTATCAAGCATCTTAATGCTGTGAGTACATTCAATTCTTTATAAATGTAAATAATGTGTAGATTTTATTTATTTATTATAATAAGAAATTGATTTAATTAATTGTATGACCTTTGACAACGCAATATAATACACATATTTTACTTGAGTCTGGAATTATTAGTTGTAGAAATTTTTCATTAAACTAAATTACATAAAATATTTCTACTGAGAATATACAGGGTGTTTTTGGAACGCTCCCGAAAACTAAGACAGACGACAACACCAAGTATACCTTTGATCATGGGTCACAAATAAATTCGATCCTGATGAAAAAAAAATCATCTTTTTACAAGGTTTTATTAGCTTTATTCACGCGCCATCATGTTAGTACAGCTAAATGAAACGATAATTTCATAAAAAATATCATGAAAATACTGAAACATAAAACCAGCAGTGGAATGACTGAATTGATATCACCTGACCTGAGCTAGATAAAGGTCAATGTACGCGCGAACACAAATTCGCGCGGCCCGCAACTAGCGGGCCTTCCAACAATACCTAATAATTTACAACACGTGTCTAAATACCTAACTTATCTACTTAACCTACTATTTTGCCACTGTGCTTATCTCCACGTAGCCACTTTAATCCGAATTTACAGGTTAAATAACCCAAATAACTGGTTCGATTCCCCGCTAATGAAGAAATACTTAAATGAAATGTAACCAAGGTTGGAGTCATGCGTTTTTATTCATCGTGTAGGTATGTTTATTATTCTCGTGTATTCAGTTATGTACCTATTCAGATTAGTCTTGTACTAAGTTATTTAAAAAAAATAGTTATGAAACAGCTTACTGCTCTAAATCCTCCGTGGTCTTATGAGATGCGGCTCAAATTGTGCTCCATTCATTTCAAGGCAGACTTGGGTGCAGGCGGGGCATCATCGTGTGGTCTTCGACACAGTCCGTACGTAGTTTCTCGAAAGCATCCACGATCCTTTGGCGCATTTCTTCAGCACTATCACATTCACGATTAAAAACCCTTTCTTTCACATACCCCACAAAAAGAAGTATAACGGAGTCAGATCTGGTGAGCGAGGTGGGCAAGCGTGTGGTCCTAGTCTGCCGATCCAGCGATCATCAAATAGCTCATTGAGGCGCTCACGGACGAACCTCACGAAATGTGGAGGGGCACCATCATGTTGGAACTATGTGCGGCGATATTCAGCCAACGATAGGTCGTTTAAAATGTCAACCAACTGTTCATTTATAAAGTGTGGGTATCGCTGTCCGTTCAGTCGCTCTGGCAGAAACACTGGTCCCAGTATGCGATCCTTAAATAAACCTGTCCATACGTTAACCGACCATCGGGTTTGGTGCCCGGTTTGTCGAACAGCGTGCGGGTTAACCTCTGAATACACGTGTGTATTTCTTCGGTTCCACAGGCCGTTTCTGGTAAATGTCGACTCATCCGTCCAGATAATGTGCTCAATGGAACCAGGCACACGTTGTTGCTGATATAATAACCAACGGCAGTATAATAACCACTATAAACGTACGCGTTAGGCATTATTAAAACAAAAAAGAATCCAAAAACGTAACAGAAACTTTAATATCAACACGTAATCACAAGTAAATTTATTAAACAAAACGATTGAACTGTCGCTCGCGCACGCGTGTACAAAATCAACACGAAACTGTCTCAAAAACTAAAACCAACGAACCCCGTCAAGGCTGAAAATTACTGCGTCACAAGCGTGAGGCGACAGGGTTAGGCATTCTGCCGTCATAATAAAAAAGGAAGTAACTAACAAAAACGTAAAATGGAAATAAAAAATAAATTGATGAATTTTTCTTTCAGACCCCGTGTCTAAAGTATATTAAAAGGTATCTATATTGAAATATATACGTAGAGACATGAAGATTTTAAGGACGAACTTATTTTTTTTTTAATTTGTTTATTTATTTAAATAAAACGAATTTTCCTTTTCATCTTAGCTTAAAAAATACACCTGGCAACACAAAAACATCGAAGGAAAGACGCATATAACTATTTGCGTCTTTCCAACCTAATAAATTAAAAAAAAACTGCCATTCATTTAACAATTTTACATATTTTGGAAAGGTCATTTGAAGTTGAAAGGACGCTAATAGTAATTTACTACTTTTTTTTTAATAAATATTAGAAAAGCATTGGTAGTGAGACACAAAAAATAATAATTTTAAAAAGTAATGATTTTAAAGGGGATATCATACAAGACTTACTACGATAATAATTAAAAATTAAAAATTTTGTACAACCGACTTTAATATAAATAATTAAGGATAACTCAAAAACTATTGGTCTGACCTCGATCAAATTTATATGGGACCACATGTGAAACACCAGCTCTTAACAATAAGATATAAGCTCTTAATAATAAGATATAGAATAATAAGACAAGACCAAGAATAATTGAAATTTAAGTAATCGATGCAAATATTGTTAAAGATGACGTAGCAACTGGTTAAATAAGTCTTTTCTTTTATGTTGAATTTGTATAAGTCTTTTCTACTAAAAAAAGTCATCTGTGATCAACAGTTACGTCTAAAATTCTTACGATAATTTCTAAAATATTGATATTTGTGAATATTAAAAAAAATTAGTAGATGCGCCTTCTTATCATGAATCGAATGGTATATTTAACTCATTTATTCATAAATTGTTAGATGCGCCCTTTTTTCTTACGACCGCGTGTTTCGTACCGAGCTAGATACAGGTCGATAGCGGAGGGGGTGTGGGTACAGTCGCGTTCTAAAGTACTACATGGTATTGGGCTATTGTTTTATAATATTATAGTAATTAATTGTTTTAATGTAGAATCATAATAGGTGTTTTACTAGCTACTTAGAACTTTGGAAGAGGTTGGAATTAAAAATGGATAATGTTTACATGAGCATTATTTGTTATTTCTATCGTAAAATATAAAGTAGTTTGTAACAAGAAAACTTTAGCTAAGGGTAACACGCCGTCCATTATGACGTCTTGGGTCACATGGAAGCCAGATGTTAATGGTGTGTTGGTGTTACTGGATGCTACTTCATCATCACTTTCATCTTCGCTTGAGCTTCCGTCATCAGGTCGATCACATGGTAATTTTTTCGGTATTCTTCCTCCACACTTTTAACTTTACTGCACAATTTTCCCCATTCACCTTCTCCTATCATATTTACCTTTTCGGTCACTAGTTTAGTCATAAAACAATAGATATAAATAATTTTTCTTTCCTTCCTTTTTAAAACATCGTCGCGAGTCGCAAAGTAAGCTGTGTATGCGACTGTATTTTTGGAGCGAACAAAGCGCGGGAACCAATAGCATGCAGGCACACTAATACTGGCGGATTGTTCCCCCGTCGCGCGCCTTTCGTACCAATATGTGATAAATCGCTCAGTGCCCAAGTTCAAGGCCAGCGTTTGTTTTTCACCGTTCGCGCGTACATTAACCTCCATTAGTCAGGTGATATCAATTCAGTTTCCACTGCTGGTTTTATGTTTCAGTATTTTCATGATATTTTTTATGAAATTATCGTTTCATTTAGCTGTACTAACATGATGGCGCGTGAATAAAGCTAATAAAACGTTGTTAAAAGATGATTTTTTTTTCATCAGGATCGACTTTATTTGTAACCCATGATCAAAGGTATACTTGGTGCTGTCGCCTGTCTTAGTTTTCGGGAGCGTTCCAAAAATACCCTGTATATTTACTAAAAGTGTTAGGTCGAGGAAAAAGTTTATTTGTCATTGACTTATCTATTTTACTAGCGAAAGGACCGGGTCAACCGCGCAACTAAATAGCATAAATGCGTTGGCTCTAAAATGTGACAGTTTAGGGCCAACGCGACGTTAATTTACGCCAGGGTTGGATACGCCCAGTACACTAGAAGAGGCTTTAAGCGTGGTCATGGAAGAAGTCAACTTCCATGAGCAGTATACGTTGCGTAATAAAATGTATAGTAATCCTAGTAATAAACCAACGCCACTCAGGTTTTTTTTTAATAGGAGCGGGGGCAAACGAGCATGCGGCTCACCTGATGGTGACTACCGCCCCCCATGAACAACTGCAAGACCAGGGAAACCAAGGGAATTGCAGATGCGTTGCCGGCCTTTTAAAAAGGAGTAGGTTCTTTTCTTGCAGGTCCCTAAGTCGTATCGGTCCGGAAAAATCGCTGATGGTAATCGATTCCACAAGGAAGTTGTGCGAGGAAGAAAACATCTTCTAAATCGCACAGTGGTGGACCGCCAATCATCCAGATGGTGCGGATGGCATCGGGATTAATCCCAACAATTCCTCAGAGCACTCCCTGTGCGAAAGAAAATGCAAAGGGATGCAACATCTCTTCGCAGTGCCAATGAATCGAGCCGATCGGAAAGGACTCGATCGTTGATGATTCGAGCCGCTCTGCGCTGGATGCGGTCAAGTGGAAGGAGCTGGCACTGGGGAGCCCCTGCCCAGAGATGGGAACAGTATTCCATGTGAGGCCGAACCTGCGCCTTATAAAGTTGCAGGCGGTGTGCCTGCATGAAATACTGTCCTGCTCTGCTGAGCACGCCAAGCTTTTTAGAGGCCAATTTGGCCTTATCTTCCACGTGACCACGAAATTGCACGTCACTCGATATGTCGACGCCGAGGATTCCAATACTGGCTGAGGCAACAAGGGAAGTGCCTTGAAACTGAAGAGATACGAAAAAGGGGTTCTTTTTAGCGGTAAACGCGCAAACTTGTGTCTACCGAGGGTTAAACTGGACTAGATTTAGTCGCCCCCAATCCGAGACTTTGTTCAGCAAAGACGCGACTTCAGACAAGTTTGTTCCGGTACTCGGTGACGTTTTCCCGAGAAATATTGGCACGGCCGGTGTATAGAGCATCACCAGTGCTGTCATTCGCATAGCAATGAATGTTACCAGTTTGCAACATATCATTGATATGCAGAAGAAACAGCGTTGATGATAGCTCCGCAGCCTTGTGTATATAATAGGCTTGTAGTCGGAGCATGCACCGCC